CATCACTTTTTGGCCATGTTATAAGATGAGGGAAGATGGAACAAGTGGTGACCACTGGAAAGATATGTGGAAGGAGAGATAGAGGAAGTCACGAGAGAAGATTCTTGACAGTCTTGTTGCATGGCATGAAGGTGTGTCAGCACACTAACTAATGCATGCTGCAGGAGATCGCAGATTGTGGTGAGGCATAATCGCCCATGCCAGTCGGCAAAGCACCTGATGATGATGATTCACTATTCGTATTTGGCCAAATAGTTGGTCCAGCTATTCATATTCAGCCGAATAGTGAAAATCACTATTCGGTAGAATAGTGAAAATCACTATTCGGTACAGCCCTAATACACACTCACACTACTTTACAGAACTTCAGTCTGTGGCATTTTTCAGTTTTATATGCATCATTTTTTCAGTGGACTTCTTTGCCTATAAGTTTTTTCATTGGCATCACTTTCAAGTACTAAGGAGATGAACAAATACAGATCTGTTCAGAGTGTTGTGGAAATAGTCCTCACTTGCGTTGTATATTGAGTGCAGCTGCCATCACAAAACAATTTTGGGGCTGCAAATTATAACTAGTATGAATGAAACGTTTCTTCTTCATCTTCGTGTTCACCAGCTGTAAACTCCCGTGGCAGGTTCCAGTTGTTCGTCCACTTCTGGACTGCAGTCCTGTTCCAGAACCTGAGTGTTGCGTGTGCATCCGTTTTACAGATGACTCATTTGTATGCAGACTGCTGGTTCCTTGCCTCTCAGATATATTCCGACTTCGAAGGAAGCTCCCATTTAGTCGACTCTTATGACATGCTTTTGGGTAGGCAGTGGGTCTTCTTCTTCTTTCGTTCGCCTGAAATAAGTTGTCTATATCGGCAGTTTTGTCTCTTTTATGAATTTCAGTCGTTGTTAGTTCATTCAGTGGTCCATAGAGTTTACGTTCCACTTCTTTCTGGGCAAAAGGTTTGCCTTAATGTGTCAAAATCGGTGCGGTCCTGGAGTACATGCTCTGCTGTCTGGGGCACATGGCTGATACACATATCTTGAATTTTGTGTACATGTGGTTACGTAATCAGTTGTGTCCTGTTTTGAGGCGGAGGATAATTACTTGTTCTGGTCTGTCCATAATAAAATAGTCGTCTTGTGCTGGGGCTGGTGGTTTCCTGATTGATTTAATTATTCTTTTCTTTTGGTGGTATGTGACTGGTACATCCGGCTGCTCTTTTGTCGCACCTATCCCTGCCACTTGATCAGCTTTCTCATTTCCAGGCACTCCACAAGGAGACGGTATCCACTGCATTACGACTCTTCACTGAGTTGTGTCAGCAGCCAACATGCATCCTAAACACATCCCTGGTCCCAAATCATTTATTGCTGTTTGACTATTTCTGCTATTTAAATGTATGCCTCCTTTTTGTAATGGCTGGTTGTTAAACATTTTTAGTCCTTATAAACTGTATCTTTGATGTATAAGTTACCTTTAAGATTCTCACTTAGTTGTATATTACAACTTAAGATATCCATGTTAGACAAGAAGAAACCATATCAAATAAAAAAAATAAAACCATTGAGCGAATCTAAATATCTAGAATCATTTGAATGGATAGAGAAATCAACGTATGATGTGCGAAAGCAAATCAGGTTATTCACCAATTAACACCGCTTCTGACGCATAGAAAGATACCTCTGTCAACCAAAGCAAATCTTATAGAAACAGTTTTGGGCCGACATTGTGCTACCAGTGCCAAACATAGGCCCTAACTACAACTAATGAGCGGAAGATCGTAGCAACATAGATAAGATGTCTTAGGAAAGCTGCCGGTGTGACAAGAGATAAAATCAAGAATTAAAGTTTAGAAGACCGGGACTAAAACCAGTCATACAATTCGTTAAAGAACAATAAATTTGCAACCTGACGAGAAAGGCCTAGTACCAACTGTCACAGAGAGCCATGCTGAAAAAATATAATGACCACAAAGCAAGGGGAAGCCCACGCAAGACACAGAGCGACCTCATCAGGAGCAGCCTAACAGAAAAGAACACCAACTTGTTCAATGCATTGGGAAAAGCTCACAAACTATCCTTTCATCTTCCGCCAAAACCTCAATGAGGTAAATAGTGAAGGAGAAGAAAACCAATGTTAGACTAGATCAACCTGAAAGCCCCTGATAGTTTTAAAATTGTGTATAACTACTGAAGCAAGGATCCGAGGTGTGTAATGACATGTTTGTAATATCTTCTTCTTAGTTGTCTCCAACAGCATGCTAATCCCCGTGTGGGTTCTGGGGCCCTGTAATAGGGAAAACAAGAATAGACCAACTGCTTACCCAAAAGCATGTCGTAAGAGTCGACTAATTGGGAACTTCCTTTAAAGTCAGAGCGCATCTGCCTGAGAGGCAAGGAACCAGCAGTCTGCATACAAATAAGTCAGATCTGTCAAATGGATGCACACGCAATGTGTAGAAACTTTTTGACACTATTCTCTCTGTATTTATTTACCTTTAGTCTGCACTGCTTAGAGACTAGCAAATTTTGATATCAATTTTATGATTAACTACTATGCGTTTCCTGCGATAGATGCTTAAAAAAAATCTTTCTTATTGTTTTCGGACAGTATTCTTGAAGAGTGTCAGCGTCTGCGGCCTTAGCATTACGCACGCGCTTCAAAATGCAGGGGTGCTGGGTTCAATTCCAGCTGTGGGCCTTGTGTTGTTTACGACAGTGGTATCGGGAAGTTGACCGTCTAGAAAGCAACTGTAAACTACTGGACGTAAATTTGCCTTAAAGAAAAACTACATCAGCCAAAAAATGCTGTGTTTGGTTCTACATCATCCCGGAAAGAATACACAACTAACTCACTCCTAAAGACAACAGTGGTATACACTCTATCCAACCTTCATTGTGAAGAAGCAAGATATTTTATTTAAACATTACTGAGTGAGATGTAACCACACCAGAACATCCACAAAGCGATAAACTAAAAGTGACACAAAGTGCCACCATGCAGATGAGGATCACCCGAAGAGAGGTCCCAGAAACCCTGTTCAATGGTTAGGTTATATTAAGGCCCCCGAGTACAGCTGGCGGTGAGGAACAAAAAATTGCACACCATATTGATACAGCAGATATGAGAACATTTATCACTACTGAATTAAATTTCTTTTATTTTAAGGTAATGCTCAGTGAATGTGGGCAACAGCTGGTAAAACATCTGAGTCTTCAATCAAGAAACAGTCATAAAGTTACCCTCTGTGCTGAGCACCTCCAATAAGTATCAGATGGCAGATTCATATAGTTAATTTGTGAATGAAGGCATTATCATTTCTTTTATTTATTGTATTAACTGTAGACATTACTTCTCTTAATCATTTTTTTTAACTGTGAATGTGATTATACTAGATAATTTTTAAACCAATGCAAGTTAACATGAGATGTTATAAAAATGTCTGTTCTTGAATGTAAAATACATAAGCTGGTTTATTTTGTAGCAAATGTTACTATGGCAAGTACAATACATTCTGAGACTTGTAATTAAAGTTTTTCCCCCTCGTCTATACTTGAATACAGCAGCGGTGATATAGCGGCTAGATGATTGCCTGCAGAACCAAAGGTCATGGGTTCAGGTCCGTGGTTCACAGATCGACCTAGCTCCCCAAGACCTGAGAAGTAAAGGTGGCCGGTGCGATGTTGACCATGTCACCCACCAACTGGTCTATAAAAAACAGGCCTGAACCTGTATGGGTACACTATTTACAGGAAACAAATCTGTTGAGTCCCTTGGTACATATAAGATGTAATCATGTGTTGACTGTTATACTCATACTCAATCAAGTACACTGTTTTATGACAGAAAGAGTTGATGAAAAAAACTTTGCACGGATTCCACACACACAAAGTACATGCTCTTTCACGGTTCTGATTTGAAGAAACACTGTAAAAGAAGATAGTGAAACTTTGCCTCGCCAAGTAGTTCAAATATGGAGGTGGTGGCAGTAATAAAAACAATAATGTGGCTAGAGAGACAGAATTTTCCTATTCATGCTTTAATTCCGTGGGCATGCTTAGGAAGAGAGGACAGGTTCGAAGAAATGGTTGGAATTGCTGAGGAATTCTTGTCTGATAGGAATAAACTCTATTTTCTGTCAACACACTCTGGGGTAAGAGAAGAACAAGCGTGTTGGCTTGCTGGCAAGACCATGTAAGTATAGGAAAAGAAATGAACCCAGCCAACATTCTTAATGCCAAGAAGAAGGCAGCCTAGCAGCTAATTTTATTTTGAAATAAAAATTATATTTATATAAATTAGCTAGTTTTCCAAATCTACACCTGTTAGCTTTTAACCAGAATTTAAGTTTGATATTTAAAAAAAAAAATGTTTCCACACAAAGATGCCAGGTTGTCTCTTAGTCCAGCAGCTCATTACATGTATGTTTGTCTTAAATTCTTGTATCTGCGTGTTTTCTCTAATTCTATATATCAGCCTTTCTGGTTCTTCTGAAACCAAATCTAGTTACACTACACTTTTCTCAACGTGGTTTTCATGATGCACCTTTTTTTCTGTTCACTTGGATTTATTTACCTTTTCAAAGGACATTCAGAGTACACAGATATTCTGTCATTTATCCTGTTCTGTAATTTTTATATTTATATAATTCATTAACTCAAGTATTTCACACACAAAAAAACATTTGTAATTATGGCGTCCTAACCTACTTCTTCTTCAGCATTTTGAGCCATTGAGGTTCATTGCTGCAGATATCACCCATCTCTATTTATCTCTCTGGTTGACCTTCTTTCCAGGTTGTAACACCAAGAGTTTGCAGGTCTGCCTTGTGGTCTACGACCATCTCCCTTGTGTATACAGTTTTCACTTCTATCATCTGACATTCTCTCAATATGCCCTAACCTACGGCTGCAAAAAATGCAATGATCATGTATTTCTAACACACCAGAGCAGAACAAAGCAAGAGACATTTCCAAATGTTTATTCAAATATTTAAAGCACAATTTTAGAATCTCAGCTTCTGGAAAAACCACTTGTTCTTGCCAGTCTTGTACCTGTAGAGGTAGAAAAATATCTTATTAAACATGTTACTAAAATATATATTGTAGCAAATTATTCTTAGAAGTACAATATTTCATTTAGTTGATATTACACCTATCATCTATATTCTTACTACTGTATGCATCTGGTACTGTAATCAATTCCTGAAGTGAAGTGCATGTAGACAGCTGTGCATCCTGGACAATAACAATAAACAAGCAAAACAATCAGTAGTTTATGGAGGAATCCTTTGAATTCCCTGAAAAGCCAAAAAAGAGCAACATATGTTTACAAAAAGACCAAGGAGACAGTCACCATTTTGTTTTAGTCACCGAGAAGGTAACTGGATCATGTGTCTACTGGAAAGATCTGTGGGGGAAAAAAAGATACAAGATATTTTTTAAAGTCTTTTGTCATTGAAGGGTATCAACACATGAACTGATACATGCTGTTGAAGACTGCAAGTAGTGGAGATCCATGACTGCTCATGCCAGTCAGCATGGCACCTGATGACATATTTTTACTGTTATTCATGTATAATAATGCATGCATATCAAAATCCAACGAATCATACAGGCGAAAAATAGTAACATCATAAGTCCTATAGGATTAAACAGTGGATAATATGTTAAAGATACAAGAACCTACTGTAGATAGTCAAGTACAGATGGTTGCATGATGGTTAGAGACTAAGCTTCAGAAGAAAGAAAAAAGGATATAAAGTGGAAAATGGCAGCAGATGTAATTACCTTTCTTCAAATTTAGCTTTGACTTCCCGTCTTGCCTTGCTCTTGAGTGCAGGATCTCTGAAGATGTCCTTGTTAACAACATTCTTCTCAAAGTTGATGTCCACAGAGTATCTGGAAGGTAATTACAAAAGGGTATTGCAAACATTTACCTATTCCACTGGTAACCTCTACTAGGTGCATTTACTCACAATGTCTAATATGCACAACAGGAAGTGAAAAGACTTTCAATGTTATATTGAGAAACTCAATGTTTTATCTTTAATTTGATTGTGTAACTCCCTGACAGTGATATGCTTCCCCAAGATTTTAATTTTTTAATTGAGAATCGAAAACACAGCACACGGTACATTCCTATAAGCGCTTTTTCCTCCATCTTCATCAGCAGAGTTCCAATTCCTATAATAACAGTAACAGTCTTATACATCTGTCTCGCTTTTTCCTTGAGTGTTTGTAAGCCAGCACCATTGGTTACTCCTGGCATCATCATTTTTTCATTTTTAGACTGTGATGATCCATCTGTGAATCTGCACTGTTCACTTGCCCCCATAGAGCCCTTACAAAATCTATCTTGTCATGCATCAATTCACCAAGCTGTGCAGAACTAGCCAGTCTTCTGTCTTTTATTCCCCACTACACCGACATAACTGCAGAAATATTCCAAGGATGCTAACTACCCGGGACCTCTGAAGTAATGCTTGCCAATCTTCATGGAGCACACTTGTCTCCACCTTTCTCAAGCAGAAAGGTACAGTAACTGCCTCCACTTCTATTCTCAACACAGATGTGGTGTCATATGCCAGGTTTTGCTGCATTAAGCAATGTCCATTGGCTTTTGCTTAAGAACCTCCATGAATTGAATCTGCACAATCAGTCATCTGTATAGATAGATAATCATAGCATCTAGAAAAGAACTGTCATGAATCATTTGTTCACCTTTTAATTCTTTTGGACAGTCTCTGCACTCAGTCCAATGTGATAAGAACCCTACCAAAAGTTTGACCCCTCCTCTCCTATACACCAACTAGAAAGAGAAAGCTAATCACAGAGATGAATGGAGACAGAATATCTGAACTTCAAGTGCTCAAAATGCTGAAGGGGATGTAACAAATTAAATTAAGGAAATTAAGGAGAACAACAGGAAACTTGAATATCTAATAAATGTTGCGATTGCAAAACAATGACTAAACAACTATCCAATCTCCTGCCATCCAAGCTTCTAGTTTCATACATTTAAGGATTCAACCAGGTCAGTTCTAAGTCGCATTTTCTACAGAGAACTGACTTTATAATCAGACCACAGTGCAGTTTTCATCAAACTTAGTGCTGAGTGAGCATCCTAAATGGAAATAGTTGAGCCAGAAAGTAAACAGAAATGTACAACAAACCTGGTGGGCATGAGGTGGTTGTAGTTGAAAACCTTGACAAAGGCCTTGACCTTGGACCTCTGCTTCAGCTTCTTCTTGCCCATGCTTCGTGTCACTTTTCTTGGATATCTGTCAATGCCAGCGACCAGAGCGTGGCTATAAGGTTTATCTTGTGTTCCATCATCGTAATTCTGCGTTAAATTTTTTTTTAAATAGCAAGATGTGGTAAAGACCAGAAAAATATCTGAATGAGTGTACACATTTTAACAAAGAAGACAAACAATAGACTGCACAATTTATTGCCTGGCATATTTCGCTGTATCTTGTCAGGTGCATACTACAGTAACAAGTGATTTAAATAAATCAAATAGCTGCATCCTAGAAACTGAAACACAAATTTGAGTACATACTACACTGTCTGTTTCACCAAGGTAACCTTAAGGAAATGACCAGATCTCTGTAGGCAGAAAGAACATTATCTTGAATTGATGAATTTCCACCTCCGTAACACCTGCTGGCCAGCCTCTGCATTCATTGCTCAATGTGATTATGACCCTACACAAGTCTGACTGTTTAGCTGGCACCTTGATCCACTCCTCTCCTTGCCTAATGTTCTCCAGGAAGCTAACCTGTCTTGTGTCTTCTGCCGGAGCCATCCATGACTTCCCTCATATCAGCCGCTGACCCTTAACTGCGCCTAGAATGGTGATCTGTGTCTGCAGCTACCTTAAAGGGCTTCGCCTGCAGCACGTTGTGCCTACCTGCAACAGTAGGCAAACCAAGGATGTATTGCATACACCATACTAGAGTGTCTCTGGTGAAACCCAGTACGACCTGCATTTCTGCGTTCTGTATGCGCTCTAGTTTGTCCATCTGACTCTTTGAAATGGTTAGAAGTCCCTGGCCATAATCAATCACTGACAGGATCAGGTGTTTGTATAGTATGAAAAGCATTCTCTGTTATTTGTCAGTTGCAGCTAGTCTTACATACAGTGAGTCCTTTTTGGCATCTTGTCACAACTCTCCACATGGTTCATAAATGACAGGCTCCTGTCAAATGTGATTCCCATATACTTCAGTTTCTCTCTTAAAGTTTATACTATCTATTGTGAGACTAGGGACATCAGCTCAAACGATCCTGTTATCTAGAGAACACACAAAACAAGACGCCTTTTCCAGGTCGACAGCCCTCATTTCTGTAGTCATTTTGTCTACTGTTGCTTGTAGCTCCCCTGCCTACATGCAAGTATATCATCTACAAAAGTCAGTATCCTTCCAACTACTTGTGCTTTTTGGCTACCCTCCGAATCATCATCATGTAGCAGGTCCTTTGCAGAACGTCGCTCTTATCACAGTCTGTCTGAAAGAAACTCTCCTGCCTCATATACTTTCATTCTCAAGGAGTCACTTATATCCTGTGCCCATCTTCGTGTCGGTCGGCCCCTACCCCTCCTTCCTGGTACCATGCCTTCTGCTAGTTTTTTCCAATCCGTTGTGGCGCTTGATATGACCTAAATAATTCAGCTTCCGACCCTCTGAATAACGGTCCTAAGTTATTGAGGCAAAAAATATACCCTAACAGGGCTCCAGTCACATGTCAATTGCATACTACCGGGGACTATAACGCCACCGCCAAATTGCGAACTTGCAGCACAGCCGAGAGTGCCGCGTGGCATGGATTGGGGTTAAATTTGATGGATAGGACTCATAAGCAAATAAAATGAAGGAAGCTGCAGGAGTTGCGGTAGCTGCTGCTCGTGAGCCCCAGCCATCTAGTTAAGCCCCAATCTACGCCGTGTTAGCGTGGGGGGGATACTCTGGGCGGTGGCGGTAGTCTGCACATTAGGTCGCAGGAAGTTCGAAATTTACATGTGACTGGGACCGTATTTTTGGCAGCCATAATATGTGCCCATTATTCGGTGGATAGTCTTACACACTAATGTCACCATAAATGCTTTTGTACTCTACCTTCACAATGACAGCTTTTCGTCCTGCAAATCGTCCCCCCAACACAAGGACCACCTTTCCAGATTTCATGAACTTCCCCATGGCTGTTAATAACAGAAACAGGAAAAGATGATGAGTGGAATGATTAAACAAACACTAAAAATAAAAAGTTTCAGGGCAGTTAAATGACATTCTAACTATTATCTTGTAAAATAAAAATGAGGTCTGTAATCAAAACTGGACTACAGTTCCAGATTTTATAGGTTCCCCCTAGTATTAAATTAAACCTATAAACCTGACTATATAATACTGTGTCCCTTGCCTCTCAGGCAGTTCAAAGGAAGCATACATTATCTTTTGCTTTTACGACACGACTGTAAGGAAGGCAGTTAACATTGCGTTTTGGGATCACAATGGACAGTAATTAACTGGATTTCGGCACGGTGCAGGAAGCCAGTACCTGAGACCGAAAGTTTCGAGGGGTAAACAAGTAATAATTAGAGATAATGGAAACAACAGACATTCAGATTAAAATGTGAGACGACGTCCATAGCAACGGATGCAACGATGATAATGCATTAATATAATAAGTTTATGCTGATCTACTGTTTTACTTAAAGAGCCGAGAGATTACTTAGGCAAGCGAAATGTTTTTTTTTTTTTATATTTGGCAAAAGCAACACAAATGAGAAAGTTATAATGGTAGCATTTTGCGATAAATGTTAACAAAGCTCACTAGTACCGATTTGCCTGAAAAATAATTTTAAATATAGTTATAAACATATAGAATTACATTCTCATCGTGCACATATAAAACTCGTACATAATATTCCGATTACATCCGATAAATATTGAAAATAAAAATAGTCCACTCACCAGTGTTGCCGTTTAATTCAAACCGGATGTAGAAAAGGATTTATAACGACTAAACCAGATTTCCCATGCCAATTTTGCCAAGCCAATTTTAATTTTCTTTGGCCGATTGGCAGTATTGTTAACATCAAGAAATATTTGTGTTGCATCCTTCTTCTTCGCCATCGCAAAAGGGAATAGCATACAGTAAGACAGAATAATGGTAGTCATGGCTTTTATTTTCTACAAAAATGAGGGTTCTGGTACTTACCACAAAATGGTAAAATGGCCTATATTTGCCCCTCAGTGTTGAATATCTTTCAGACCCTCTGCTCACCGCTGTCAAAGTGTGGATGCTTGTTTTGTTCTGTTGCATTGTCCACTTGATGACAGAGCCTTAATCACGTTCGCTTTGTCATAAACAGGTCAGCATTCACGGGAGCAGCAGCTAGCTGCCACTCTTTAGGTAAGTATGAAAGTATGTATGTGTGTAAGTATGTGAGTTAGTTAGTTAGTTGGATTATCCTCATTGCACTCCGGACATGTCCATAGGTGCTCAGATCCTCCCCTCAGTATGAACCCCAACGTCCGATGGCTAATAGTACCAGTTCTAAGTTGATTAACAAGTCTTCTGGCGTGTCTGGTGTGCGTCTCGTTTTTTGCTGTGCCGATCTTAATTCCCAAGTCTGCCATTCTGGCGAGTGATGTGGATTCAATGCCACCAAAGTCCTCTATCCTTCCTATTTCTCTGAGGGCATTGATAATATCAGCATGATCCATAGGCTGACCGTCGGTAGTAATAGCGGATCCAGCCAACCTGTCAGCTCTTTTATTTCCATCGACGCCTGCGTGTCCCGGAACAAAAATAAAGGTGACTCCACGCACAGTGGACTTCTGTAATGATTCAAGCCATTGTCTTCGCACTGAACCTGCCTGAACCCTCCGGATCATACTCATTGAATCACTGAATATACATACGGGGGTGTATTTTTGTGTTTCAAGCCAGGCAAGCGCTTGCGTCACTGCCATCACCTCCATCGTCATGCTGCTGGTTGTCATGGAGAAGGCACCGTTGGCTTCTTTGACTGTTCTGCCCGCTGAGCGTGCTGTAAATGCCCATGCGCTTCTTCTTTGGCGTATAACGGATCCGTCTGTATAGATTAGTGCATCTGCTTCGTCTGAATTTTCACCGATGAGAGCGTTGACCTCTGCATTAACAGCAACAGGATTCTCTTCTCTACATCGCCTGTTGAGTGTGACAATACAGGAAAATGTACAAATAAACGCCTGAGGCACAGGTATCCATTCTGCACCAGGTATGATGTCGGTTAGGCTGCATATTTGCCTAATAACATCTTCTGCCCGATCTAGCCACGACTTCCCCCTCTTCAGTCTGTCGCCGTTTTCACCAAAAAGCGCTTGATGCAGTGGGTGTTTCTTATCAGCACATATTTTGAGATATGCCCGAGCCCTCCACATCCTGATCCTTTGGTTCATTGTTGGAAAGTCAAGTAGATACCTCATTGCTCCACAGAATGTGTCTCTTGTACATCCCAAAATAATGCGCATGGCTTTACGTAAGGTTGTGAGTGTATGTATGGATGTGTGTATGTATGAAAGTATGTATGTTTAAGTATTTGAGTGTATTTATGGATGTGTGTATGCATGTACATGTAGTCCATGTATGTATGTATACATGTGGATGTATGTATGTGTGCATATATGTATGTAGGTGCATGTATTATGTATGTCTGTATATGTAGGAGAATGTTTCTATGTAAATGTATCTGCGTAAGTCTATGAGTGTATGTGTATTCATACATGTATATGGATGTTTATCGGTATATGTAGCTGTGCATGTATGTGGATGTGTGTGTATTTATGAATGTATGCAAGTATGCGTGTATGTAAGTATGTGGGTATGTATTATGTATGTGTGTGTATGTATACAAGTATCTATATGTGTGTATATATGTATGTATTATCTGGGTGTGTGTATAATTGTGGGTGTGTGTGTGTATGCATGCATATGGATATATGAATGTATATTTAAGTTTGTATGTGTGTGTATTTATGTATATATGTTGTAAGTATGTGTGACTGTATATGAGTGTATGTGTGTACATAATGTAGGCAAGTATGTATGTATGCATGAGTGTATGTATGTATGTATGTGAGTATCTGTATGGGTGATTGTATATGTGTGTATGCATGCATGTGTGGGTATGTATGTAATGTGTGTCGGCATGTATATGGGTGTGTCTATGTATGCATGTTTGTGGATGTGTGTATGCATTTGTACATGTATAAGTATGTGTGTGTATTTAGGTATGTATGCATGTATGTGTGTAAAGATGTAGGTGTATGTATTGATGTGTGTATGTATAGGTGTGTATGTATGTTTACATGTGAGTGTAAATGTGTGGTTGTGGGTGTCTGTACATGTGATTGTATGTGTGTGTATGCATGCATGCATGTGTAGGTGTGTATGTATGGAATGTGTAGTGCATATATGTTCATATATGTATGTGTGTGTCTTTTCTGTTTGTGTATATATGTAGATATATATATGTATGTATGTGTTAGGTATGTCTGTATATGAGTGTGCATGTATGAGAATGTGAGATATATATATATATATATATATATATATATATATATATATATATATATATATATATATGATATATATATATATATGAGTGTGTAAGATTGTGTACACATGATGTATGTTATTATATTCTATAATGTACCCTGGGTCGTAGGTTTTTATTCTATATCTATAACATGCATTTTAGATAACAGGCATTGGTACTCTGAAAAACTATATCTATAACATCGCATTTTAGATGCATTGGTACTCTGAAAAACGAGTGCTTAGAAGGGCCGAGTGTCAGACTGGCCTGCGTGCCCAATTTGTAACCCTTTGAAAATAAAGTTTGTTCGTTCGTTCGTTCGTTCTTTCAGTCTGCTCATTACCTTGCACACCCGAATATCCTGGACATAAAATCCATGATATGCTCCTGATCTAAGTGTTACCAAGCGATTCAAGCCACTCTGAAAAAAGTTTTACTGCGACATGGCGTCCCTCAAGATGGTGTCCTGTCGCCCACACTTTTCCTCTTATTCTTCAACGACCTGGTTGCTGCAATACCAAATGGAATCAAAATGGCAATGTATGCCGACGACCTGGTACTGTGATCTAAGTGTTACCAAGCGATTCAAGCCACTCTGAGGAAGCATGCTGAGAAAGATATAGGACGCCGATTAATATTTAAAAATAACATTTAACAATAGAGACTGGCAACAAAGTATACCACACTACAGCTGCTACAAGCAGGTATTTTGTTCTGGTTGTACACAGAACCGCCACCTTTTTTGGCAACAACAACAAATCAGCGTTGCTGTTATACATACTCCCTGTGTGTGTTCCAGGGCCCTATTATAGGGGGAAAAAAGAATAGACCCACTGCCTACCCAAAAATCTTGTCGTAAGAGTCGACTAATTTGGAGTTTTCTTCGAAGTCGGAGTGCATCTGCCTGAGAGGCAAGGAAACAACAGTCTGCATACAAATTAGTCATATCTGTCAAACGAATGCACACGCAACACTCAGATTCTTCTTCTTCGTTCACCGGTTGTGAATTCCGGCGGAAGGTCGAGGTTAATCGTCCGCTTGAAATTTTGGCTTTTACCTGGACCTGAGTTTTGCGTGTACAACCGTTTTTATTGGCTTTTGCCGTTCCCTGCCTCACGAGCAGATGTACTCCGACTTCGAGGGAAGACGTCAGTCCTATTTCTAGGATGACTGTAGCCATTGTTTTGTGTGGGTCGAGATGTTACCTTATTTGTGTGGTGTCCTCTTTGTCCCATTCTCCATAGGTGTTGCCCCCGGAGTACCCCCTTTAGGACAGCACTGTGTGGAACGGTTGGACCTCAAGGGAAGGCAGGGGCAGATCATGGGCATTCCCCGCCATCCAAGGAGGCTTCCATAATAGCAGAGCCGATACATGATGCTCTGGTTCTGGGCTCACCCAAGGAATCGTCACGTCCTGCACATGACTGCTTAACCTCACAACCGTATATTGAGCTTTTCGCTTAACACAGGCTGCGTCCTCCGGGGATCAGCGGGGAGCAGCCCGTGGGTTCTGGACTTTGTGAACACACAAATAGGTACATTCTTCTTCGTTGCACGTTAGACACCGTTAACGTTGTTTCAACTGTGCCCTTAGCATGACAGTATGGGGAAGCA